AGTGAATGTGGTACAAATAGATATCTATTCCATTGAGCCCCCTCTTGGGGGCACAATCCTACGGTACTTATAATTAGGGGTATGAATGAGTTCTTACAAATCATCTAGACCAGTCCCTCCCCTAGATCTCTCTATATAATATTTTAAGACCTGTACAGCATCTTCACCAAGTGACTAATACTTTTCTGCTGAAAGTTTAGTGTTAAAGAAGTCAGCTTCTTCCTTAAATACTATCATTATAATGGCATGTCACATACTGAGCCACATAGTTCACAGCATGATCTTATATTCTCTTTTATCTCCTAATTACTTTTAGGGTTTCCCAAAATTCTGCCCTTAAGACCTATTAGACCAGGTCTGGAATTCAGTCCTCTTATACTTACTTCTCCAAACCCTTGACCCAATAAATAGCATATTATTTCTAATGAGGAATGTGGGGCACCATTTTAAGGTTAAAAAACTTTTTCATTCAAATTATGTCAGGCAATATACTAGATGCTTAGGCATCCAAGACTTAGCATCCCACTTCCATCATTAATGTAGTTTAGTTATATGTCCTGCTAATGTAGGATGTGGGATTGCATGCTCCCTTCCCATTAGGGTAGCCAAAGAAGGCCACAGCAAAATGAGGGTTGGAGAATATGAAAGGTCTACAGATTTGTCCTTATCAGTGTATATGACAGATGTATACCCAAAGGCAAATAAATATATGACCCAAATTGACCCAAGTCCCTCCTCTTATAATTTTAGACTCTTCCTTTTAGTTCTGTCTCAAGAAGAGAAAATAAAAAGTACTGATCACTTTCTCTTTCTTAGCACTTCTCATTTTCTATAAGAGTACTTCATTTATATACTCTTGCATTCAGTAAATAATGGGGAAACAAAGATAAATGAGATTTGGTCCTGATCATCGAGGAGCTAATATTCTAGAAAAGGGAAGCCATGCAAACCAATTATGACAGTACAGTGAGGTGAGGGTCCTGCCTGAGACACCCTGAGGGCTTTGAGGGCAGTCTCTTTGCTGGGGGATTAGAAAGCTCAGTAAAGTCTAAATCATTCTTACTGCTACCTCTAAGAGAAGGGAGTCATATTCCTTTGACCCTGTAGCTTCAGGTGCTACACAGATGAAGAGTATTTACCATCACAGTCACCATTATCACTGTCTTAAGCATTTATTTTTTCTGATACAGGGCAGGGACTAGAATGAGGTGAGTAAGGAGCTGATGCTGGCTGAAAATTTTATGGGACATAAAAAAACTCAATAATTAATTAAGACAATAATATTTTAACTCAATATTTTAGAAAATTAAAGCAATGCAAAGGAATTCCTAATGAACAAGATATCAAACTTTTAAAGACAGGTCAGTCTGGTGTTGGTCTTATGTACTGTGGGATAACATAGAGGTCCAAGGTTTTGTCTGTTTGTCTTTGAGTAGCGTAGTCTAGTTGAAGTGATGTGAAAGGGATGTAAAAATAAACAAGGTGCCTGTTTTATTTTCACTCTTTTGATGACAACTTAGAAATCTGACCTCAACTTCAGTAAGAGGACAGCGTGGGAGATTAGTAGTTGATTTTCCTTATACAACTAATGTCATATGGGAACCACCAAAGAAATTCAATAGCATGAGCCCTAATAGCCCACCTTAAAAAATGAACCCAGACTATTATTCTAGATTCAAGGAACCTCTAGACATTTTAGCAACAAAATTTGGTAGAGCTTCACGCTGGTGCTCTGTAATTAGGGACACAGCTATAGCTACCCTCTATATGTCTGCATCTTTTCCTTATTTTACCAGCTGATAATTTCTGCCCCTTTATTCACATTCCATAGGAGAATCCAATTGGCTTAATCCTTTTTTTCCCCATTTGAGCCCTACCCTACAGGTCATAGTTGCAGGGTGAGGGGCCTAATCCTGGTCCAATGATCTAAACTGCTGTGGCTAGGGAGGAGACCAAGAAATTGAGTTGGGGTCAAGTGGGGAAAATGGGAAGGAGCCTTTGCAACCAAGGTAGTTTACCTTAGAATAAGGTGTAGATGAAGCACCTTCCTCCAACACACACCAGCATTGTGGATTTGCAATTAAAAATGACAAGGAAGCAGAACAAATAGCAAGTGCTAATGGAGTGCAGAGAAAAAAGAGATCACCAAGGGTCAGGATGTGCTAATTATATGCTATAAGAGCCTGCAATTATAAAACCATAGATATGCAAATAAATGCTGGTAGCTCAGCAGATGACACTACAAAGCCATTTATCTATGGTTCCTGATAAGTAGACAGCAAGAGAAATGATTTGTTTATAAATTCACTTAGAAATCACTCTAATATCTCCAACTACTCTTCCCTCTTCTGGGGGAATCCACAGAATAAAGAAAGCCAGTAGGCACCTTGGATTGGATTACCATATTCATTACCTTCTGACCCAGGCTATTCTGGATGCTTATAATAAAATAAACAGGCCCTTCATTGCGACCAGCTGAGTCACACTGCCGAAAGTCATTTCCCCAAGGCACCTTTTTACCAACTAAATGGGAAATGATGGTGGCATCTGTTCCTGCCACCCAGTGAAAGCTCATAAATTGGCATTTCTTGTCTGTCTGGTGAGAGGTCACAGGGAATATAACTGCAGGGAAGGACTGCTGACTGCCAATATTAGGCCTTCTGGAACACAAAGCTGAGAAGTCTTCGAGGAACTCACTATGCCCATGGAGTTACAGTGGCCAAACTCAAACACATATGAAGCCCATCCCTCTGAGGGCAGATGAACTGTGCACACACGCTTTAACTTCGAACTTAAAGCCCATCAGTTCCTGACAACCTTGGAGTTTTGGTCCTTCTAGTGTAACCTGTGAGAATTAATAATGACCTAAAAAATTTAAACCTAGCCGGGCGCGGTGGCTCACGCCTGTAATCCTAGTTCTCTGGGAGGCCGAGGTGGGCGGATTGTTTGAGCTCAGGAGTTCGAAACCAGCCTGAGCAAGAGCGAGACCCCGTCTCTACTAAAATTAGAAAGAAATTAATCGGACAACTAAAACTATATAGAAAAAATTAGCCGGGCATGGTGGTGCATGCCTGTCGTCCCAGCTACTCGGGAGGCTGAGGCAGGAGGATCGCTTGAGCCCAGGAGTTTGAGGTTGCTGTGAGCTAGGCTGACGCCACGGCACTCTAGCCCGGGCAACACAGTGAGACTCTGTCTCAAAAAAAAAAAAAAAATTTAAACCTAATTAGGAAATGCAAAATAACTTTTGGCTTCCTTGAAAGAACCAGAAGTTTTTTTTGTTTGTTTGTTTTTTTCTTTTGATGGAAAATGGTAAACAAATTATCCATTAATTCAAAGAAACAATTGTCAAGTACCTAAAACGTGACATTTCTTTGTTCCGAGCATAGCCTGTATAGTGCTTATTGTATATTATACTGTGTCCTAGTACATAATATACATATTATATGATAGAATATGTGACAGAATCCCAGAACTGTATTAAGGCTGTTAGACAGAAACCTTCAAATGTGAACCCCGTTTTTATGCCGCTTGAAAGGAGATTTTCACTGATACTTTTAGTTTTGTTGTTTGATTGAAAGAGGACCTTGTCAATATTGCAAAAGGACTTTGTCAAGTTTGTCAAGTGGTTTGTTATGTTTTGGAATTTTTTCATCTATTCATTTTCTGCAATATCAAGTGTTCTCACAATCAAGAAAAGAAAACGGATTTGATATGTCTATTCTTTACCCAGTGATTGTAGAAAATAATGAGTAAATAAATAGGAAAGGAATGAAAGATGAAATTAAAGGTAAAAATGAACCTCCAATATCAGTAACTATATCTCTGCATTGATAAAACTTTGAATGATGCGTAATTGAACTTAGGCGAGTAATCAATCCATTGTGAAACAATTCTGAAAGTAACTGTAAGCAAAGAAATAAGAGCTTCCTTTTAAAATCCTAGGTATCGAGGCCTGCCCCAAGTACCAAATCTACTAAATATGTGAATTATATAATAATATCATAGCCATAAAATCGTTCAAAAATATATAGGTAACTTTCAAGAGTTCAATACTGAACAAAGTACAGGGACTTATTTTCATTGTTTTGAATTCATTGTCGTGTTCAGAAAGTAAAATACTTTTCCTTAATTTAGTTTATGACCTAAAAGAAGTCATGGATTCCTTTTTTCTAAGGTTCTATGCTGGCAGTTTAGATTAACTACCATTTTATGTACAATAATATTTTTAAATAAAGATGCAGTGAGTTCTCTAAACAGTCATGGACCTAAATTATACAGCAAGAGAATAGCTGTAGAGGTTGTTAGATGGACTCCAAACATAATTAAATGTATTAACACCTATGGAAGGTCCTATCTGTAGTTATTTCTTTGTATTAATATTATATTTACAGTCTTAAACTTTGTAGGAGTACATCTGTTAATATTAGATCCTGTTTATATAACAAAAAATGACACTAACTTAAACAACTAAGTTTATTTTTATCTACATAAAAGAAATCCAGAGGTAGGCAATCCAGAGGTGGTATAGTATCACTCTGTATCATTGAGCTCTGTCTTTATACTCCACTCTGTGTATAGTTTGACTTCATCCTCAAGGTTGCTTCATTGTCCAAGATGACCACTGAAGATCCAGCCATTATGTCTGCATTCCCAGTCAGCAAACCGAAGAAGTGAGAGAGAACAAAATTATAGGGATTTCAGCTAAATCGCCTTCCCTATAATGCAGCCAACCCAGAAGTCCACAAAACCCTTCTGCTCAAATCACATTGTACCACACATTTTCATGTGGTCACATCTACCCGCAAGGGAGGCTGAAGAATGAAGTCTTTATTTTAGGAAAAGTGAACAATGGAAAATTGGGTTTCTATTAATAAGAAATAAGGAGTAAATGACATTGTTTTAGATTTTTACTTTCACATATGGTGAAATGCTACTGGTTACATAGTTGTTCCTTGTGTGTGCTAATCATGCATGTCTTTCTCTTCCTCTTGTATTACCAGGCCTCCGGAACCAGTTTACAGCACTGTGAACAAACTGTGTGATAAGCCTGCTTCTCCCAGGCACTATTCCCCTGTTGAGTGTGACAAAAGCTTCCTTCTCTCAACTCCCTACCCCCACTACCACCTAGGCCTGCTCCCTGACTCTGAGATGACCAGGTACTGCATGCGCTTCTTCACCTCATCCTCTCCAACTGCATGTGCTTCCACAAGGGTGAATGGGTAGAATCTGCCTCTGCTCACTTCTCTTACATGAAACATCTTCCTCAAGGTGGAGGGATGTTCTGCTCCCTTGTTGCAGTGGTAGAAATTAAGAACATGGCCTTTTTTTCCCCTGGTGTGATCACAGAGCACGTAGATCACATGATGCTTCACATGTTCTTGGTTCCCATACATTTTAATAAGGTATTAATTATATTTTTCCAGAAGAATTAATTTTGGAACTAATTAGCATCCTTTCCCTCATACGGAAGGATGAAAGAGAACATGTATTGAATATTTTTTGAATAATATTTAATAAGTGCTTACTATGCTCCAGGTATAACATAGCCTAAAAATAGGTACTGTTATTGCCATTTAATATTTAACTAAAATATTAAATTAATACCATCACTTAACCTCCTTGAGGTTTAAGCAATGTGTCCAAACTGCACAATTAATTGGTTCCATCTAACCACAAAGAACGTGAAATTAATGTTTACACTATGTTATCATGCTAGGTGTATATATATGTCCTCTTGTTTAATTCCTCCCACCTTATGTAAGGAAACAGATTTAGACAGGTTAAAGCATTGCCCTCAGTATGATCTTGCCAATAAACGTGGAACCCAGACTTGACCCTAGAATGTTTTAGTCTTTCCCCAACAAATTTATAAGCAAATCATTCTAGATCTAAAGTTTGGACACAATTCTGTGTTAATATTCTAAAGCATATGTGTGATAAATAAATAACAAAATCCCTATCTTCGCATAGTAGCCAAAGCCAGAGGGAACGGGGAGAGGAAGCAAAATAGAATCAGTGTTCCATATTGTGATGTTTCTACACGTGATGGGGTGTTTATATAGTTATGTTTTCAGACCAATATCTTCATAATATTGTTAGGATTGACCAAATATAGATTTTAGAATGATTCAAAGTGAAAATGGTTATAATCAAGAGGGTCTCCTTACAATATCATCTTTATTTTTTGACATTTTCACAGAATAAATTTAGAAGTCAATTACTGGTCTCTCTAGGGATGTTAAATAACAAATTTTAAATTATATGTAGTATTTTCAGAAATAAATGAGAAAACATATTTTGACTATGTAATCAGCTGGACCATTTTTATTACTTTGCAACAATTAAAGCCTAATAGTTTTTCAGAATGCTTTATAAATATTAATTAAACAAAAAAATATATTTTAATAAGTCATAAAAACTATTTCTTGATGGAATAATACCATTTCGAAGCTAAGAGGACAAAGTCACCATAGTCATAGGGAGGTGAGAAGGTGCACACACCTACAATAACGACGTCTGTTAATAGCAATTATGCACCTATAGTCAGCTACATAAGGGCAGCTAACATTTAATCAGCTCTTCCTCTGTGCCAGACGTTTTGTTAAGCACTTCTTATGAATTATTTCTTTTAATCCTCACAGTCACCTTATGGGGTAGATGTTATCCTTATCTCTGTTTTATAAAGGAGGAAATTGAGACTTGAGAAGTTGCCTCACTTGCCCAAGGTCATCCACTAGTAAGTGGCAGAGCTGGGATTCAAATCCAGGTGAAACTGACCTGGCAGACCATTAGCCCCTGCATCTGCATAGGCATGATGGCTTGCATATTTTTGCTCACTGGAAAAATTATCCATTTCTTTTTTTCTATCTTTTCTCTATCTTTATCCTGACTTCTCATCTCCCTTTCTCTGGCTCTAGTCAGTAAATCTTTTCTTTTTTTTTTTCTTCATACTATGCTCTTTTTTGATTAACATAAAAGTTACATTGGTTTCTTTCTACCCCACTGGGGATTTTGAAGCATCCATCTGGAAAAACTCACCAATAAGTAGCTGATAGAATCTACTTTCTATGTGGACTCACCAGATATTATTCTTTTCAGTTTACTTTCTGTAATGTGCATTATGGAGACCATAGGGTTTATTTTTTTCATTTTTCAAATTAAAAAAATATTGTTTAATATTGACTGTGTCTTTTTCAAATTACTCACCCTCAGCAATTCTGATAAGTACTTAACCCCTATGTACCATCCCCCTCTTTGGGAATTCTATTTTCTATTTATTCTATTTTGTCCCCTTCTTTTACCTCCTTCTTTTTTCTTTTCTCCATTATCTTTTTCTTTATCTTATCTTTCCATAAAAAAAGTCGGACACACACATATACACACCTATTTTAGTGGCCTTGTCACCAGTACATTGATACAAAAAACCTTAATTTCATCCCACTTTGCTCCGCCTCCGTACTTCTCCAGCTTAGTGAATGGCACATGCATCTACCCCATTGTTCAAACCAAAAACTTGAGAGTCATCCTTACCACCTTGTTCTTTCTCACATCAACCATTCAGTCCATCTTCAAATCCTGTTGATTCTACCTCCAAAATATATCTCAAATTTATTCACTGCCCTTTACTTTTATTTCCACTACTTTAATCCAAGCCCCCATCATCTCCCACCTATAATAGCCTCCTAATTGGTCTCACCACTTCCACTGTTGTCCTTCTGGCTTATTCTCAATGCAGCCAAAGTGATCTGTTAAAAATACAGATCAGATCTTATCTCTCCTTTTGCATTAGGATAAAATGCAAAGTCTTTAACATAGCATACAGGCTCTGCATGATCTAGCCTCTGCCTGCCTCTTAAACATCTCATTTCACTCTTTCCTTTGCTGACCACACTATTCACGTTGGCCTTATTTTTATTCACAAAATGTACCAAATCTCTTCTGGTCTCAAGCGCATCACACGTGTTTTTCCCTGGAACTGAAAAGCTCTTCATACACTTTGCCTGATTAACTTCTGGTCATCTTAGATCGAAGCTTAAATTGCATTTCTTCAGAGAAGCTCTCTGAAAATCAGCTCTCCTATTACACATTCTCACTCATTTTTTTTCCCCAATGAGACTTAAGCAATTTATAATTATACATTTATTTGTGTGATTCTCAAACTAAATGCCTGTATCACACACTACACTGTAAGCTCAATGGGTGGAAGTATTTCTATTTTTGCACTATTATGTCTGTAACACTTAGCACAGTGCCTGGCACAGCAGGAGCTCAAAATTATTGAGTGAATAAATAAATATAGAAATAAGATCTGCAAACAAGACAAGCAAACTGATACCTGTTTCAGGAAAAAGTCACAGCTCAAGCTGTGCTTTACGCAGTTCTTAGATGATACATAAAAGTACTCCATGAATGAATGAATACATGCATAGAAACAGATAACAATAACTAGAACTCAGTTTGTGTTTCACTCTTACTTTAAACCATTTCGATGATTATTGTCTACATTATAGAGTCAGTGAGGTAACTGTCAGTTCTTCATGAAGACTAAGTAATTAGTTTCAGAGATTATTTACTTATTCTTAAATAGGAAATACCTCCTAAAGTCAATGTTTCTTGAAATGCAGCCAGGGGAAAAGTTTAAGAATTCTGGTTCCATTTATGACATCACCATTGTGTCTTTGAGTAACTCAACGACTCTCAGAAGTAGATGAGAATTTAGAATTAGATAGACAAACTCTTATCCAACTCTAGTAATGTTGAGGAACCCAATCCACTGTCTTCATGGATCTATATTTTATTTCTACTCATGGTAAAATAAAAATATTTTGGGATCTTCTGCCCTAAAATGGACATTATAAGAATGTATCTACCAAGATTTATCAAGCACCAACAAAGTGCAAGATACTATACTAGAACAACTTTTTCCAAAGATGCAAGCTGAAAAAGACAACCAAAGATACTGAATAAATGACTGATTTTTAAGTTACAGTATATAATGATGTATATTTTTTCAAAATTTTCGAGAATTTCCCACAGTTTGTTCCAGAAGTATGCACATACTGATATACCAATTATAGCCTCAGATTAGGATATGAACTAGCTCTAGGAGAGTTAGCTTGTGAAACCACCCTTACATTTATATCAATTTAATTCCTAATCAGCATTCAGAAGAATAGCGGTAAGTCAGCAAAAGCAACCAGATTCAGTCTTCTATACTTTTCTGAGCCTCAGTGGAAATACACAAGTTCTTGGCTCTTTGGATTAACAGCAAACATCCAGGGATGAATTAATTGTACACACAATTTACTTCTGCAAGATCATTTGAAAGAAAACAGAGAAGTTATAAGTTTTCCTTAGGAAATAATTTTAAATTACTTGTCACAGTGCCTAAGGCTGCAGATTATGTTTAGAGTAATTGACTTTTTAGAGCTCACAAAAGCAAGAAATGGGCAGATCCTGAACTCAAACTAAAATCTGAAGCTCTATGAAAAGCAAATGGGATTGCTATGGGACTCCTACTTATCCAGTACATCTCTTTTTCTTAAAAAAAAAAAAAGTTGTTTTTATATTATAATTGGGTTTTCTACTTTGGGAGAATAAGTTATTCAGCTTTTGATATTTCTAGGGCAAGGAGAATAGTATTCTTGGCTGTTTTCTCAACATGAATGTCACATTTTCATTTGTCCTTTTACATCGATGGTTCTAATTATTGTTATTTTGCCATCGAAAACAGAGGCTGAGATAAACCAGATAAAGGCTAATTAAAATATGTTGGCAGATTTTGGATAGGAAATGAACTCTGAAGCACTGTATTATCATAAAATATTTCTACTTGTTGAAGAGATGAAATATGGTGCTTCATCTAGGTACCAAGCATTATCCCGAATGGTAGGGATTCAAAGATGAATAAATGTGGTCTCTTCCCTTGAGTAGCTCACAGATATTATAAATGAAGAATTACTTACTGTGGGATAAATATCTGCTAAAAGGCCTCAATTTCTCTAATGTACCTAATTTCTAGGTAACTGTTAAAAGAAAAAACTTACACAAATTAAATTTAACAGAGTTTATTTGAGCAAAGAACAATTCATGAATTAGGCAGCACTCAGAACCAGAAGAGGTTTACAGAGTTCTGCAGTGTAAGCAGCAAGCTTTT